GGAAAAAGGGTGAGCGATAAATGCAATGCATGAGAATATTAGAAATAATGCACTTCAGGATACAATGAACTCCCCGAAGGGTAAACAACAGGTTTCAAAAAGTATTATATGTGTGAGACCAGCCATGGTCACAGAGAATTCAGTTTCTAAGCTTAAAGCAAACCTGCTCAACTTGGAGCCCTCCAGGTGTGTTAGAGCACAGCCAGCGAGTTGCAGCCCAACGCACCTGGGGGGCGCCAGGTTGTGGAAGGCTGGCCTAAAAGGCACATGTCACGCCACAATGCTGCATCTCGCCATAATTCCAACATTGCATTGTGTTCAGTGGAGCAACCGGGGTGGATTAATCACTCTACTGAATGCAGAAGAGCACCAGCTCCGTCTGGATGCCTGGTAGATCCATGCAGGGCTGCGACCACCTCACCCCAAGCAATCCAGAGCCGCTGCCACATTTCCTGATGCTATGCTCTCCTGCATCAGCTCCTGCATTCTGAGTCTTTGGAAGATCATTGGAGGATCAGTCCTCCCCTGCATCTGATTTGTATACGCAGCTGATTGCATCTCGAGACCTGGATCCATTCCCATTTCCCCTTCTCGCTCCAGTGAGTCATTCAGGAAAAGGGGCCTGCCTCTCTGCTCAGAAGTGAAGCATCTTTTCCAGCCCCAGCGGAGTCCTGGATGACCCCCCAGTTCCCTGCTATGGCCTTTCCAATTCTAACATGTTTACGAATGCAAGCAGAACAAATGCTTCATCGACTGGCCAAGAATAGGGCAGAAGCAAGCAATGTTCTGTACCTCTAGCAATGGCTCAACACACAGCAATTAAACAGGAAATTAGAACAAATGCTTCCATAACTAAAATGGCTTTATCTGAGATACTTCTGGGTGTCCAGCTACCACTACCTGCATTGGAGCAGGGCCAGAAAAAAATTGGCAGCCTTAACAGCCCTTTCACACAATCAGGACTGCAGGAGTAGGGGGGAAAGGTGGCTGCAATAAATCCACAATGTATTTATGCAACTTAAAGAAGTTAAACTAATTTTATAGAGGAAGCCAGAAGGACAGGAATGGAAGGGTAAACCGCAGGTTTGTACAACGCCGTGCAAGCAAGGCTGCCCATTCCTCACTCCAAGATGCCCAGCCCACCCTTACAGCCTTCTCCGTTTTTTAAATGTTCTTTTCCCTTTTCACCCCTTCCCACTTTGTGGCTTGTTGTTGTTGCTGGTAGGAATTAAAACAATCTTGGTAGGACTTTGGTAGGAACTAAAACAACCTGGACATGTCTGTATAAATGCAATTATTTTATATTTCTATAAGTTGCCCCAAGGGTGTTTTGTGTCCTGAAAGATAGCTGTAAAATGTTTTTAAATGCACAAAATTATAAATTCTCATAGCAACTGAATGCTCCAAGGCACCAAGACAGGATCCAGCTAGTCCACACACTCTCATCTTTAATCCACAAGGCAGAAATTCAACAGGTAAACATTTTCCCAGCATGGAGATGTAACACAGCAGGGCAGGGAACAAAGCAGCTGGGTTTCTCCCTGTTGCACAGCTGTATCATGGGCGAGGTAGGAAAACAGGCAACCTTAGGCAAACAGTTGCCTGCATCGTTCTGTACATTTATAGAAGGCACAGGATTCCACCACAGAGGGAAAGCTGGAACTCTTGCAAGGCTGTAGCCAGAGCCGCAACGATGCTGTGTGGACTCGGCCTCGCCAGAAATGTCCCTTGAGCAGCCAGTTTTCATTTAAAAGAAAAGCGAACTTGTAGCGATCGACAGGTGCAGGCAGCTCAGTAAGAAAGATGCCAGTCCAGCCATCTTAAGCACCTCAGGCAACTTTGAGTTCTGTTCTGGCTGTTCTGCAAAGATTTCACACTTACTTCGCTCTCCTCTGCGCAAAACTGCTCCGAACTCTTATCTACCTAAATGCCTCCTGCGCGTTCTTTTCTTTTCCGCTCGGCTCGGCCTTTGGGAGCACGTGCCCAGATGGCTACTCTGCGGAGAGGGCTGGCATCCCAGCGCGGCTGCGCGATTCCACTCTAGCCCAGACTGGCCATGCTGCCAGGACGTTCAGCGCGAAGTGGTGCCAGGCGCAATTAACAAAAGGGTCCCGATAGCGACTGACACACCAGGAGAGGCACCATTCCAACTCTCCGCCCTTATGCTGGCAGCTTCTGCATAACACAACCTCTGGAACAAGGTTCCAGATGGAACATGCCTCTTGGCTTAAGCTGATAGGATTCCCCAGACAATGATGGTGGGGGGGGGGCGGGAGGGGAAGGATCTCTCACTTTCCAAGAAACATCACATGCTCATAGCCAAACACCAGTGCAAAAAGTTTCCACATTTGGAGAAAAAGAGGCCAAAGTGTCTCACAGCTTCTCTGGAGACTTGTAAGGAGTGCTGAAGAACGGTATGTCCCCTGCTTATATGAAAATTTGCAACTTGCCTCCTGAGTGTCGAGATTCGAAAAGAGGATTGTGTAAACAGAACTTTAATTCAGCATTGCTAAACCTCAATCTCAGAATGTTGAAATTCGCTTTTTTAAATGACTCCTAGATGGTGCAGGAGCCTTGGTGGGTGGCTCAGGGAGTCACAGCAGACACAGCAGAAAATTCAGCTGCTGCAGATTATGCTAGCAAAGCAGTATGTACATTAATGCAAAAAGCATCGCCGGATGAATTTCTGGCTGCCACGTAGTTGCTAAAAGCCCAAGAATCCTCTTCAGCCACACTGGCTTCTCTGGAAGATGCACCAGAGATAAATAAATAAAAAATAAAACAATCACCATGGTGATCTCATGGTGAGAAAAGGAACTTTGCATATGCTCAGAGGCACACACATTACTGCTTCCAGGGTGGGACAGCTGTGCTCAGTAGGAGGCTGTATGCTTTGCTTGCAGGAACTCTGCTCCCAGGCTTCAGTCTTTGGCATCGAGAGTTAACGCAGGGGTACGGAGCATGTTCACCGCATGGACATATTTGACAACCTGAGGAATTGTTCCGGGCACCACCACAAAACAGCTCTCACAGAAGGTGTGGCAAAAGAGAAGGATTCGCCCCAAAGAATGAGTAAAGGACAGAGCGTGTGTCAGAGTTTCAACACTGCACAATTCCACCAAACCCAGTTTTCTGCACTAAAAGATACTGGCTGCAGATTAGAAAATGCATTAATTAAATAAAAATGGCAGGAGTGAAGCAAAAAGATGCCCAGCGTGCCGCACTGCTTATTCCTGAATTAAAAGGATCCATGGAATCTTCCATCTGAGATCCAGAGGGAGCTGCTGCCAGCCTGGACAGACAACGCTGGCTTCGCCCATCTGCACCAGGAAGCTCTGTTCGTGTGCCTTCGTCCAGGCACCGTGATTCAAAAACGGCACCGCAGACTGGCCCTTGGGCAGCAAAAGGAGCTCGCTCCCAGGCCTTGGAGTTTGCGAACTGCCACGCATTTCGGTGGGTGTGTCACTTTGGGTACAGACCCCATGTGCGCAACCTACAGTAAGGGTGTCCTCCTTTGCTTTGCCTTAGTCAGGAAAACCCCCACAGTCCCCAGCATGCCCCAGGACTAAGGACTGCACCCCTACTGGATTCAGTTATACCAGCAGGGTACAGAGGCTGGAGTGCTGGATTGGGGCTCAGGAGATCCAGGCGCTAGTCCCCATTTCCACGAAGCCCCCTGGAGGACTTTGGGTCAGTTGCCAACACTCAGCTCAACCTACCTCACAGGGTTGTCGTTGCAAGGATAAAAATGAAGAGGAGGAGGAGGATTATGGATGCAATGGGGAGGGGGGAGGGAGAAGATAGAAATGTTTAATAATACTGAATTAGATGTGATGCATCACTGGCCATCTCGGTAGACAGCACTGGGCGAAGGTTAAACCACAGCCTGCCTTGAAGTAAGGTGTCTCCATAGGCCCAGCTCCTGTTTATTAAATCAATGTGCGCTGCTTCTGTTTTAATTAGGACACATTGGGACATGTTATTCGGCTGTGGAAGGGGCCCTTCCAAAGGAGCAGCAAATCAGGTGTATGCCAGTATTGGGGGTGGGGGGAGGAGGAGAAAAAGAGAGAAGGTGATGAAGCCGCACCCTGAGATTAAATTCTGGAATGTGCCAACAGCACTCTCAAGAGAACTATGCTGAAAAGAAAAATTGACTGAACATTCTTTCGCGCACTTCCCTGGGTGGTGCTCCTGTTGCACACGGGGGGGGGGGGTACCTCTGGTAAACATGCTTAGGATCCCAAAAAGAGAAGCCCAGAGTTTACTAGAAGCCAGGATTCACCCAGGGTAACTACACGCATTGTTTCAGTGAGAGGGAGTCAGTCCTGGAAGGTAAGAAAACATGAGAAACTGCACAGTTGAGCATATGTAGAGTGCTTTTCACACACCAGTCAGTAACCACACCCTCTAATAAGGCATAGGGTGGTCATGATTTTTTGGTAAGTGGAGTTGCAATTTGTGTCACTGCCCTCCTTCTAGCCGCATTTAAAACAGCCTGGCTCACAGGAAAGCTTTCCCCATTATCACATCCCTGCGCTAAGTAAACACAGCTCCCCACACTTTTGCATTTGCAGCTAGTTTCTAAAAACATCGGCACAGGGTGAGCGAGACAACCAGCACCACAACCAGCCCTCGTTTCAGAACTCAAACCGGATCATGGCAGTTCATTGCAAAGAAGTATTACAGGGAATCTGCCCGCCGAGGTCCCCGTGGATTCGGGGCAGCGGGGGGGGGGTGATTTTGGAGAGGGGCAACGTCCTACCAGGGTCGATCTCAAGTCCATCTTATTTTAAACCAGAAGGAAAGCACTGAGGTTGGGAAGAAGGCGATCCCAAGGCAGCCAGAAGCAAAACCTCGCTCCAGTGACGCCGAGTCAAGTGCTGGAGGAAAGTAGTCAGAAAAGTCCGGAGCGCCTACCGCGCACCTGTTCTCAGCTGCCATGCAGCCGCTCCAGCTCCGGATTCGCGCTGCAAACACCCACCCGCCCCAGCGACGCTTACCTCTTCTTCTGCACTGTCGGGCTGTATTTCCCTTTGTTTCTCTTCTTGAACAGCGAATGCATAACGGAGGACCCCTGGACCCAGCAGCTGTGGACGAAGTCAGTTCAGTGGGAGGCAAAGAAATTTCCTGGCACCAGCCGTCCGTCCGGGCGCCCCTTTCCCCCAGGCGAAAGGTGACTGGCTGGCTTCTTCTGCTGGGTCCTGCTGGTTTTAAAAAGCTCTGAATGGAGAGGAGACCAAGCCACTCTGCAGCCACCTCAGTTCCTGCTTCTCGCCAGGCTAGGCTGGAGTTACCTCCCATAGGAGGTGGTGCTTTCCTACCAAACTTGTCACGGGTCCAGGCGGAGCTATTCCGGGCTGTAATTTCCTCATCAGCCTTTGCTGGGAGCCGAGGTTGCTAAGGGAACGAGTCCATGCTGCCATTCGTACATCTTTCTGACCTGAGCCATATTCAGCTTTCAGCTTATTTTTCTTTTCCTGTCCTGGTGACTTTTAACAGTCCAACTGGCAAAAAATAATGAGGTAAAGCTTTTTCCAACATGAAACTAAATTGTGAAAGGGAAACAGCACCTTCTAAACTCATGTATCGCAGGCTTCTGTTCAAGGTGCAGGAGCAGATGAAAGAAATGGAGGCAGCAACATTCTGTGGGAGGCCAGTAAGGTCGCCCCCTTTCCAACTGGTTCCTGCAGCTGTCCCTCCAATGGCAGTTTGATCTGCAGGAATTAGCAGAGGGACTGATTAGCAGCTTCATTACAATATCCCTCACCAGCTGATTTTGCCAGCTCAGCTGCTGTCAAAGTCAGGTCAGGCTGTTGTTTTCTGGTTTCTTGGACGATTTGAACTCAGATCTTCCCAGTCTGAGTCCAACATTCTTTCCGCCGCACTTCAACAAGCAAGGAAATCCTCTGAGCATGTGCAGATCCATGTTCTTCTCCACTTGGTAATCACAGTCACAGGTGAGTCTGTGCTGGAAACAGGGTCATCAGATCAGAGGGGGTCATTTCCACTTTATCCTCACATTTTAGAAATTGAGGGCTGTGCCCGGAAAGGATATCCTTGGAGGTCTGGACAAGGAAGGGGAATAACTCCCCTTTTAAGAGCCGTTCTCGAGCCCTGCTCCTCCTCTTCTTCCAGTGCATTCCTGATGAGGGACTATGAAGTAGCTGCAGTATCTGGGCAGGCTCAAGAGATGCCATGCTTCAGGTAGCCATAGAACAAGGCCCATCTGGTTGCTAGGCAACCTCCCAGCTAGGCTCGGGTGATTTTTTGCTCCTGTCTCAACTCATCAGTGACAGGCCAGGTGTGACTTTGCAGGCAGTATCTGAATAAACAGGTTTGGGGAGGGTGATCCTTCTCTGTGGGGTGTAGCTCAGCCTTTACTGAACACTAATTAACAGTGTGTTCCTCTCCTAACCCAACCCTCAGTTTTAGGCCTTCTGTCAAGGCGGGTAACTTATGAAGAAGGGAAATGACCAAAATCCCCTGATTTTAGAAGGGGAGGAAGAGAAATTTAAGTCACCCTGGGCAGGCAGGAAGTCGCACTCCTTGTTTCTGGCTCTGCCCAAGTGCCCGCTTTAGATAGATGGCTGCAACTGGGGCAACTCTTTATGCATTGCATTTGTATCCTGCTTTTCCCCACAGACGCTCAAAGCCGCATGCACATCTCTCCTCCGTGCACATTTTATCTTCACAGCAATCCTGAAACTCTTATGCCAAGAGTTAGGTCCTGGCCAAAAATCATCCCGTGACAACTTCATACAGCTCCTTGCGCAGGCAACCGCTGCAAAAGTTCACCTATAATTGAACAAAAAGGTGACACGCTCCCTTGTTTTTACATGTGGTCACCTGGCTATTAAAGTGCATTTTCAGATTATGTAGGAACACTTAAAACTTGCTATTTAATTTTATTTATTTATTATAAAAATAAATAAATTTATTTCCTTTTTATTTCCTTATGTCCTTCCTTTGCAGTGAAGGACAGAAGAAGCCTGAACTTTGCCCAATCAAGCACAAAAAGAATGAGAGAAACAAAACTGAATTTTATTCTCAAGAATAGTTTGATTGTGAGCAAAAGGTCAATCAAACCAGAACACATGGCGCAGTCCTCTTGTATAGCTTTGCTTACCAAGTAGTGATGACAAATGTCCATTGGTTTGAAATTCCTGCCACAACTGCTAAGTGGTATATCTAAATTCAGGTAGTTCCCACACTTACCTGGGAGGCTGGGCCACCTGAGGGTTGGGCTGGATGCTCTGGCAAGGGATTTCTCAGTCCCTGGCCGTGTGGATGGCTCCTGTTTCATAGCTAATGCTTGGGGACACGACCAGCCCGTCTGTGCTCAATGCGATCTAGCCAGGTATGTCCTACAATATCCCCCCTTTCTCCCATCGTGGAGCTCAAGGTGGCTACATGATGTTCCTAGGTCGTCTCTCCTCCAAGCGCAGGCCAGCCCCAGATCTGCTTAGCTTCAACATACTGGATGCCTTCTGTGCCTCCGGGCCATACTTTGGGCCACTTTATCCCACCTTTTAGGCAGTTATTGTTTCCCAGAGTGGCTCACATTAATCAAAAAGCAAGGAAGGCCCTCGGTTCGCAAGGTCAGGACACGGCAGTGAACTAAGGTGTAGGTACATACCATCAGGTCTTCTCTGACCCCATGCATGGAAGGACATACCATCCTGTCCTTCACAGCCCTGCTTAGCTGTTCTAAATTCAACCTATGGAATCAATGCATCCATCCCATGGTTGGACTTTCTCTTCTTCCTCATTCAACTTTCCCTAGCATGATTGTCCAAAGCACCCAGAGTACACAGGGTACCGACAGAGCTATTCCAAGCTGCATAGAATGAATCAGTCCAAGTCCTAACAGGAATGTGTCAACATGGAAAAGAAAACTCTGGCCTATGGATTGGAAACATGCAACAGACATTCCAGTCCTTGAGAAAGGAGATGTTAAGGAGTGCAGCAACTACAGAAGCATTGCACTAATTTCCCATGCAAGCAAAGTGATGCTCAAAGTATTGAAATCAAGAATTTTATTGATATGCAGTGAGAAATGCCTTACATTCAAGGCTGCTTCTGAAAAGGAAGAGGCACTCGAGATCATATAGCAAATATGCATCAGTTCCTGGAGTGGACCAAAGGATTTTGGGAGTGAAGCTGAAAAGGATCACTAACAGGAGCACAGTGCTAAAATTCTACTTAAATAACATTCCTGTGAAATTTAAAGTCCACATAGTGAGCAGATTTGTACTACTGAACTCAATTGACCATGAGCCAGAAGAACTGTGGATTGAAACCAGATACATCATTAGGGACGAATGGAAAAAGAAGTTTATGAAGCACAGACTGATCTCCCGAAATCAGGTTTTATCGCAAAGTGCAAATACTACAATAAAACCTGAATACTGAGGTTTTAGTTTTCATAAATTCTTCACAAACAACTAAATATGATGCTGCAGATTCAAATATGCCAGGGGGACAGCACAACATTAAAAGAATCTCAGTCTCTTAATTAGAACATCTCTTTGCCAAATCTTTGATATTAAATTTCAATTTTTTATAAGAAAACTCAAAGCTAAAATCTTGCGTTAATAAAAACAAATGTATTAAAACTCACAGTGTGAGATATAAAAAAAATATCCAGTAGAATCCAGGCAGTGACAATATGGGAGGCAAAGTAACAAGCAGAGAAGTTTAATTCGTTCTTGCAAGAGCGGACGCCCACCTCACAGGCATCACGCCGTTCACACACACAACATTCACTTTTATCACCTTTTTCCCGGCCGCAGACCCTTCCCCTTTTCTCCCATTGGCTGGGCTACTCAGAGGGCACATTCTTCTCTGCCCGCCTACAACATGCTACCTCTTGATATGACCCCCCCCGCACATACAACCCACGTTCATGCTAATGAGCCTATTACCTATTAGAGGTGCATCATTTACTATTTATGAGTCTAGTAAGCATGCGCAGTAACTTCTAAGAGGTCAACAGGCCAAAGTGGCCTTGAAAATTCTTACTTGACACCAAAATGTTTCTTAAATCTTGTGGGGAGGATGAGACAATGAGAACAGGCCTTTCTCCAGGCTCGTTATTGCCAGTTGTAAAGTAATCCATTGTCTGCTTTCCTTCACTGAAGGGGACAGTTTTACCACTGTCCCCCAATTTTACCCCTTCTGGTATTTTTTGGGATTTTTAATGTAAGAAACATTATTACTCTTAGAACAACCATTTACATGTTTTGATTCTCAGGTTTTTGGCCTTAAGAGACTTCAATGATCCTGTCCTATTCCTGTTTTTCACCTTTAACACTTAGTAACAATAACATTTTATTTCTCACAACAGCCAGTCCAAGCGCGCGCGCGCACACACACACACACACACACATCTCCTTGGCAGTGCACCGACCAGCCATGTGAAAGCTCGGATGAGTTGCGGCTCATGATGCCAATGAGTCCCGGCTCACGATGTCGTTGCCTGGCACCACTACTCCTTTCCGAGCATGCGCATGGCGCCTATGTGTGCTGTTATCCGATGCTCAGCTGCTGGGGCGATGCTGGGGCGACTTGGCTCACGTGCCGGCAGAGAGGACTCTGTGTGCCCACTGCGGCTCGCGTGCCATAGGTTTGCCACCACTGCTCTAGGGTTTTTGTTTCGGTTTTTGCTTCTGGAATTGTCTTTTTCCATTCGTCCCTAATGATGTATCTGGTTTCAATCCACAGTTCTTCTGGCTCATGGTCAGTTGAGTTCGGTAATGCAAATCTGCTAATTATGTGGACTTTAAATTTCACAGGAATGTTATTTTAGTAGAATTTTAGCACTGTGCTCCTGTTAGTGATCCTTTTCAGCTTCACTCTGAGTTTTGATATTTAAGAGTTTGTGGTCACTGGCACAATCTGCTCCTCATCTTGTTTTGGCAGAGAGGATACAAATTCTCCATCTTTACATTTCAATTACGTAGTCTATTTGCTTTTGTGCTGGCCATCTGGTGACATCCATGTATACAGTCGTCTGATTGGTTGCTTGAAGGATGCCTTTGTAAGAAATAGATGGCTGGCTTCGCAAAATTCTGTGAGTCTGAGTCATTCTCCTGCTTCATTTCTGACCCTGAGGCCAAATTCTCCCACAACTTTCAATTCTGTTTTGCCTCCTATTTTTGCATTCCAGTCACCTCTGCTTATCAGCATGTCATGTTTCATTTCTTCTTGGGCACTTACATCGAAGTTTTCATTTTCTTCTTCTT